CTTTCCCACATGCCTGTAACGCCCTTCCTCCATCACAATGGAAAAGGCCATTTATTTTAATTGAGAAAATTGCAAGATTTGCTGAGAATTAAGATATCTTGAATTCATATATTGGTCTAAGTTATTTTTAAAAGTGAGCAGAAACCTCTGGTTAGTGAAAGATGGAGGTTAAAGGAAGGCAAGGGATGAGCAGGTAAAGAACTGGTTAGGATCTGTTCATTTAAAGAAAGTTTAACTTTTTTTTCTTGTTTTAGCATAAAATCTGGGTTTGTATGGGTAAGATAAAGAATCCAAGCAGTTATCAACCTGAAGAAACTATTGCTAAGGAACTGGCTTACATTCATCAGAGTGGTCATTTTCTGGGCTAAAATTCACCCCAAAAGGGCCATTGTGAAACTAGCACAAGCCTGTCAAGATGAAGCAGTGACTTTGCCTCTGATTTCTATCTTTTCAGTCATTTTAGCGTCCAGCTTTTATGGGCAATGTTCCCTACTCCTTGGTCAGTTAAATAAAGCTGTAAGGCGCTATGAGGAGTAAAAACCAATTATTCTGGTCCCTGGTCACAGCTTTCCAGAAAACTAGAAGAGCATATTTTTCCAGGTGGTATGAAGAGCCTCTTTGAGGTGCGTGGGTTTATATAAAGATTCTCAAAGGGGAAATATTTGACTGAAATGAGCATTGAAAGAGAGCAGAGCTGGGGATTAGAATCAAACAGATTCCCTTGGATGCCAATGTAAAACTCTTTAAAGTTTTGTGATTTTAAGTGCTGCTCTGGCACCAAAATCTGTAAGTAGATGGAAAAAAAAAAAAACCCTCAAGACTGAAGAGGGACTAGCCCTCTGTTTTTTCACTTTGGCCTCCAAGTGCCCTTGGCTCTCCTGCTGCATTTTCTACTCCTCCTTCTTGCAGTGTTCAGAATTTCTTTCCATACGGCATGTGTGCTCTTCCAGATGTGGATACCTTCCACGTTTCCCACAGCTGAACTCTAAGAGGGATATTTTGTCCTAAAATAATCTTGGGATAATATTTATTGCCAGACTGATTTAAATTCATGTGAAAAGGGCTAGTTACTACAAATAGTAAAATAACCTATTATGAGAATCCTATTCTAATTTAAAATGGAAACATACCTCACGGCTAAAGAATCTGCATAATACCTTGGAATTTTAAAATATATTTATTCCAGAGAATTCTAATTTCTCACGCCTATTATCTGCTTTTGTCCCATAGCATCACAAGTCATAGTGGGAGACAGAGCATGTAAATGACTTCGATCAAATAATTTTAGAGGAGATGTATCAGATTTTAAATCTAATTTATATATGTGTCTCTTAAACTTAGTGGATGCCTGTGTATTTACAGGTTGCTTAAAAGTAGGCAGTGTCATCTAATGCTATGTAATTATGATACAGAGCAGCACTGCACAATCTAAAAAATTGTTTTATTAAGTCAGTTTTTCTTGGCTTTAAGCTACTCCCATGTGACTGTGGTCAGCATCAGGGCCTCAAAATAATTCACATCTTAATATCCCAGCAAGGCCAAAGGAGCAAATCCAAGAACTAGGTCTCTTCCAGTGTCCTCAAAACACCAGACATATGCTCTGAAGTTTTTCCTCTGATATATATGACATTTATAAAAACTTCTGAGTGTTAAGGGAAACAACATCTAGAAATTTTCAACTTCTGCCTCAGCTAAAAGAAAATCATTTGCTCAGTGTGGGACCCGAGAGCGAGTAATGCCAGGATTGATGCCTTAGAACCAAAGTCCTTAATTGGAGTTTCTAATCTTTTACAGCTCTGATACGTGAGTTTGTTAAACAATTGTTTAAGAAACACGTGGTTAGCTATATTTTCAGCTGTAGGACAAAAATACCTCCAACAACCAATTCTGCAAATTCTGTCCCAGTTAACAAAAATAGAGTCAAGCCAAGGCAAAGGATTCCTTCTCCAACCACAGACTCCATCTGTAACCTATGATGACATCACCTCAAGCTTCCATGCCTTCTGCTCTCTTTACTCTGAAACTGCCACCACCTCTTAAAGACTTGAAAGATTCTCAAAGGGAAACCCATCCACATTTTATATATTCTTTGGGTATTCACACTACCCGTGTTACAGAACATGTGTGCTTATTAAAGGGATTTTCTATGTTAGCAAGCAAGTTAGGGACTTGGGGGTTTGTCCGTGAGGAAGGCTTTGAAAGGCAATCAGATTTAGTCAGAGTGTGAAGATGGGGTCCAAACCCAGTGTCTATCCTGTACTCCCTGGGAAGGTAGATCCACCTGCAGGTCCTGGTTCTGAGGGCTTTTGAGTGTGGAGCAAAGTCTTTCTCCCACTCTGAGACCTGTCACGTCCGAGCTCCAGGCCAGGCTGCAAGTCGATTTCTTGTCTCCAGCTCTCCCTCCCCAACCCAGCTTCCCTCCTTGTCCACAGCACAGGGACTTTCAGGAGGGGTGTGTGTGGGTGTGTATTTTCTGAATGAATGAAATTTGATTCATATTTATTAGAGCTTTCTTTTAAAATTAGAACTCCCCTATCCTATCTGATATCATCTTAGACAAATAACTAGGTCACTAGGATATATTTTCTTCACTAATTATTTTATTACTAATAAAGTATTATTAGTAATATAATAATAAAATAAGTGTTTTACTTAAATAAATATGTATAAAATTATATAGTAATAATAATAAATAAAATGGTACTATTACTGATTACTAATACTACTTAGGTCATTGAATGCCTTATTTATACTTCTCAGAGGTAAATGTGTTTGAATTTCCCAGGAATTTTTTTTTTTTTTTTTTTTTTTGGTACACGGGCCTCGCTCCGGACGCACAGGCTCAGCGGCCATGGCTCATGGGCCCAGCCGCTCCACGGCATGTGGGATCTTCCCAGACCGGGGCACGAACCCGCGTCCCCTGCATCAGCAGGCGGACTCTCAACCACTGCGCCACCAGGGAAACCCCTCCCAAGAATGTTTTAATAGGCTAGTTGTCTATTCGAAAGCAGTGACCAAAATTTAGTATTTTCATAATGGCATTCCTCTATGAGTCAACATATGTAATGATTTTCAACCAGTAACTTCATTAGGAATTTATAGAGCACCTTCTAAGTAAGTGTAAGCCCCTACCCCTAAATACATTTAAGGCATTCAGATGTACATGTAAGTATTCAATTAACTCATGTAGAATAGATGAGCGATTAATCACGGTTACTATTCATTCATTCAACAAACATTTATGGAGTTCCTGCTTAGTTCCTGGCATCATTCTGGGAATGGCTAGTACAACACTGGATAGACAAACATCCCTGTGCTCTTGGAGCTTATTATTTACTAGCAAGAGACAGTTAAGCAAAGAAATAAATGAATAAATTAGGAATACAAGAATATCAGGTAATGATCTGTGCTATAGCGAAAATAGGTGTGTGCAAGGGTGTGATCTAAAACATAAAAAATAAAAAGTTGATGATGGCCTTTTTGAGGAGTTAACAATTGATCTGAGGCCTGAATGACAGGTAAGAACCTGTTAGGGAAAGCTTTGAAGGAAGAGCCTTCAAATTATTGGGCAGAAATGAGTTTGATGTGTTTCTTGGAGGGTAGTGATGAAGAAGACTCCTATTTAGAATATCAGGGGTGTGAGATGCAACAAAGTGGAGATACAGCCAAATGAAGATGTCCTGCAAGCAGTGTGGGTTGGAATCCTGGTGGTGGTGGGGGGGAGAGAAGGCAATGGGGGCACATATAAAAAGTAGTATATGGTACTTATACAGCATGATTAGTACCTACTGGGACAGTGTAGCCGTAGAAAAGATGGAAATCCAGGGCTGAGTCATGGATGTGTCAGCCTTTAAAAGTAAAGCCGAGGGATGTGCTACAGAGACCAGGAAGCAAATTAAGAAGACGCCTAGGAGAAAGTGGTACCAAGAATGTATTTCAAAAATGAGAGAATGGTCAATTGTGTTGAATACTGTTCAGAGATCTAGTAAAACAGGAATAAAAACTGAGTTAGCAATAGGGAAGTCCCTGTGACCTTCACAAGAGCAGTTGTAGTGGCCTTGTAGCTGTGGATAGTAACGTATTTGAAGCAGGTTGAGAAGAAAAGAAATGAGAAAAGGTAGAGATGGCGAAAGTTAACCATTTCACGTTGTATTGAGAAAGGGAATGAAGAAGTGGAAGCTGGAAGAAGATTGGGGCTCAAAGGAGAAATATTTTGTTCGATTACTTAAAAGAGAGTTACTAGAATATGCTTGTAAGTAATGGGAATAACCCAAGTATGGAGGAATAGAGGGAGAAATTGAGGCAGCAAAGGGAGAATAAAAAGGCAGAAGCAAATTCCTTGAAAAGTTAAAAGGGGTTGGCTCCCAAAGCACAAATGACACAATTAGTTTTTGATAGATGCAGGGAGCGACTAAATATGAAGACCACTTGACAATACAGAAATATTTCTGCATTAAAGTATTGAGAAACTAAAGCAGGCCAGGTGGAGCCACATGAATTTGCTGATTTGGGCCCATTTTTGACTTGTAAAAATACCACTTTTCTATTGCCCAAACTTACAATAATATGCTTACATAAAATAGCTTAGAATATACAAGTTGAAATAGATGATGAGCTCATGGATGTTTTCCGTTTTCTCTTTTTTTCTAAATTTTGTGAAATGTTTTCACATAATTTTAAAACAGATATAAGGGAAATATAAATGCCTCTTACATTGAATATTGCCTATTTCAGCTTAGTCTTTAGGTTAAGTCATAACGAATACCAAACAAAACAAAGACAGAATTAGATCCATGTAATCGTTCTAGTTTTATCTGATCCTCCGTGTTCTGTTCTAAAGGATTAAAACATCTACTGCATACCTAAAGATTCCTTAGGATCTGTTTCTTAGTGATTTGGATGTAAAAAAATTTAAATTAAAATAAATCCATATGTTTTGTAAGGTTTATCTTTAAAAATGTGTCCTTTGGCCTAATTGTTTATATTTTCTTTCGTCCCAGGCTTATTTATATTTATCTTCCACTGTGCTATGAAGGAGAATGTTCAGAAGCAGTGGAGACGGCACCTCTGCTGTGGTCGATTTCGATTAGCAGACAACTCGGGTAAAGGAGCATGTTGGTGATCGTTTTTCTTACATCGGAGAGTAGTTAGAAACCTTTGTCATTTTGATTTTCTGTGGTCTGAGCAACCCAGTCCCAGTGGTAGCAAGTTGAAAAGGCAGAGTATATAAAGATGCTTAGTTGTAGTCTTAGATTATTAGGACTGCAAGAGATCTGAGGACGCTAGGCCTGACCTTCCTATTTTACAAAGGAGGAGCGTGAATTCCAGACAGGTTAAGTGAGTTGCCCAAGGTTTCATGTCTAATTTAACAACTCATATATCCACTATACCATACATACCTTTCCAGATTTTTGAAGTCTTTAATTACATTATTAGGCAAAGAGATCTTTCTCAATATAAAAAATCCCGGAAGAAGAATCTTACTTTTTTTTTAACCACCAGTGGTTACTTCTCACCCTTAATATATTAAAGTATAATTTTAAACATAGGGTCAAAGTAAGAAACTTTTATGTTTCTTCAGGTTGTTATTGTTGACATGTCAGTCTCTTGTGTGAGTCACTGCCAGCGTGTCAGAACGTCTAATGCTCTGGATCAGTTACTTAAATAATGCAGTGATGATTCTTCAGGGCAGAGTATATTCCCCCTACAGCAGACTCATGGAGAGATGTCATTTCTTTCAGACTGGAGTAAGACAGCTACCAATATCATCAAGAAGAGTTCTGATAATCTAGGAAAATCTTTGTCCTCAAGCTCCATTGGCTCTAACTCAACCTACCTTACATCCAAGTCTAAATACAGCTCTACCACCTACTTCAAAAGGAATAGCCACACCGGTGAGTCACTCTGGCCATGATAAAGATGTTCTCTGGGACATCTTTGTGAATATTTTGTCTTTTTTAAAAATATTGCAACCAAAATTGAATCTATATTGCCAGAATATCATTAACTCTGAATATTTTTGTAACTTCATTTGCTTTAAAACTTAATTTTCCTTAAAAGGTATGGTCTCTTGTTTTAAAAAGTTATGTGTTTTTATTTAAAAAGTACAGAAATTGAGTTGTAGATTATTTCAGCATAGTAGGAAAGTTACTTACATGTTACAGTTAAGACTTAAGTCCTTTGAAATATATACAAATATAAAATCATAATGTTGTACACCTAAAACTAATATAATGATATATGTCAATTATTCCTCAGTCAAAAAAGAAAAAAATACCTAAGTCCTTAACCATTGGAAGAGTTATTGGCAATTGCTCTTCAAGTCACTGACTAAGTATGAAATAGGGAGCATCATACTTGGAAGGTGATACAGGATGGTGAGAAACACCGTGTCTTTGTTCATCTACTGAATCTTCATGATATTTACAATGATCACACTTTCTGACACTGAGCATGTATATGAACAATCCTGAAGACAGTGTGCAAATACAGGCAGACCTTGGACATACTGTGAATTTGGTTTCAGACCACTATAATAAAGCGAGTGTTGCAATAGAGTCACACAAAGTTTTTGGTTTCCCAGTGCCTATAAAAATTATGTTTACACTATACTGCAGTCTATTAAGTGTACAATACAATTATGTCAAAAAATGTACACACCTTAATTTTAAAAAGTACTTTATTGCTAAAAAAAATGCTTATCCTGTCATCTGACCACACAGGGTTGCCACAAAACTTCAATTTATAAAAACTATAATTTATAAAAAATATAAAGAAGATGTGCCACACATATACAATATAATATTACTCAGCCATAAAAAAAATGAAATTGAATTATTTGTAGTGAGGTGGATTGACCTAGAGTCTGTCATACAGAGAGATTAAGTCAGAAAGAGAAAAACAGATACCGTATGCTAACACATATATATGGAATCTAAAAAAAGAAAAAAAAGATTCTGATGAACCTAGGGGCAGGACAGGAATAAAGACGCAGACGTAGAGAATGGACTCAAGGACACGGGGAGGGGGAAGGGTAAGCTGGGACAAGTGAGAGAGTAGCATTGACATATATACACTATCAAATGTAAAATAGATAGCTAGTGGGAAGCAGCCGCATAGCACAGGGAGATCAGCTCGGTGCTTTGTGACCACCTAGAGGGGTGGGATAGGGATGGTGGGAGGGAGACGCAAAAGGGAGGAGATATGGGGAATATATGTATATGTATAGCGGATTCACTTTGTTATACAGCAGAAACTAACACAACATTGTAAAGCAATTATACTCCAATACAGATGTTAAAAAAAATACTTTATGAAAGAAGGAAGCAAAAAAAAAAAAAAAAAACAACTGTAATCTATGAAGGACAACAAAGTAAAGCGAAATAAAATGACATAAGCCTGTGAAGACTATTTTGCAGTCCTTGATAGCCAGTGAGCAGTGTGAAAAGATGTAATCCTTTAATAATTTCAATTGAAAATAGCAGAAATGCTACTTTTAAATACTAATTAAACCTCGAGCAATCAGCTCTCAACACTCAGCATCCAGCACTTTCCTAATTAAAGATGATTCTAAAAGGATAATGGAAATAAATTTTGTATTTGTTTAGCTAATTAATGTAGGCAAAGGCGAATGACACCAAAAAGATTCATATTTAGCTTTTTGCAAGCAGGGAGCGGTTTGTGCAATGTGTCTATAAATGTTCACATTGCAAACATTTGAATTTCAAATGACCCGTATGTACGTTTGAATCCTTCCACACGTCCTTACTTGTGCCACTAGGGTCCCCACTGCCTGGGATTCAAGATAGCACTGTGGAAAAAAAGTATGAATGTTTACTGAGGTTTTTAATTCCAAGGTTAAGTAAAGAAAGATCTGAAAACTTGGAGCAGCTTAGTACAGCAGTTTTTAAAGTTTCTTGGAGTCAGGGACATTTTGGGGAATTGAATAAAAGCTGTGGACTCTCTTCCAGCCTTTGAGTGCAGCCTTTGAGTCCTGCACACAAACAGTTTTGCCTAAAATTAAGAGGTCTGTGCACTCCTGCTCGAAACACCTGTGTAAGAAAATTAATAACAGGTATATAGTCTGAGATAGATAATTCTATAATAAATAATTGGTAGTTCCCTGGCACAAAACATCTTGTACAGTTGACTCTTGGACAACACAGGTTTGAACGGTACAGGTCCACTTAAACACAGACTTTTTTCAGTAGTAAAAACAACAAATAGTAGTACATGATCTGCAGTTGGCTGAATACATGGATACAGAACTGCAGCTACAGAGGAACCTCAGACACAGAGGGTCAACTGTAAATTATACTCAGATTTTCAACTGTGCAGGAGGGTCAGTGCCCTTAACCCTTGCCATTGTTCAAGGCTCAACTGTACTTATAATAAGTGAACTTTTTACTTTATTTAATCAGCCTTAAAATCAGATACTCATTTTGTTTCCCCTTCTAAAATGCAAATACTTAATGCATTGTAAGTCAGTTGTGAATGAATAGGAATTAGACCAATTGAATTGTTTTCCTCTTAACACACCTAATAGTTGACCTAAAGAACCACTATTAAAAGGCGAAAGAAGATAACAAAGTACATAATTTGGAACAGAGGACATTTTGGAAGTATTAAAATATTTGGAAATAGTAAGCATCATGGGGAAAACTGACTAGAAGATAAAATGAATTGCAGAAATGGGGGTACCTAAGGAAAACTTAACTATTTCAAAATCTTGTGTATTTTTTTTTTTTAAGAATTCATTAATGTTTTTCTGTTTCTTTTAAAATCCTTGGGGTTAAATGGGTTTTTGTCAACAAGTATAAGGATGTAGTCAGCTGTATGACGTTACTTCCACGGTATAATAAATTCTAGTTTCCGATCAGCTGACGTACAAACGGTCTTCTGCGAGCTAGCCAGTTCTCAGTGAAACTGCTGACGTTCTTGGGTCACTCAGGGTGTGCAAAAAGTCACTGCATAGCATCATGGATATCTAGATGGTTTATTTCTTGGCATTGATTCATATGTTTATGGTGTAGATAATGTCTTCTAAGAGCATTCCTTCAACAAAAGTGGATCATTCAGGTAAACTTTTATTACTTCTTTGAATGCATGAATTTTTTGCAAGGTAGTAAGAGAATACTTGCATGGATTAAACTAAGACTCTTGCCGCACCAGCAAAGTTGCTTGTTCTTTACAATACTTCTCAGCTAGCACAAGGAAATTCCTGCACTGAGCTGGAGTTTCTGAAATTTCAAATGGTCCTGTGCTGTGCTGGCTCTTCTCTGCATGGGGGTGTCTGCAAGCCGCTCCTTCTAGGAAATGTACCATGCTCTGGAGTTAGTGGGTCACATTACCAGGTAAAATAATGAAAAAAAAAAAAGTAGTACTTGAGAGGTTTGTTATAGAACAGAGTGAAATTCTTTACTTTTTCGCTGCTCTTATGAATTACTGGATATGTCACAGTACATTCACAGAAGTCATAAAAGAGAAATTGTCGATTCCAAGCCTGCTTTTTGAGGACTTTTGTCTGCTTGAAATTTAAGCATAGGTGAAATAATAGTTCATTTCCCTAGCCCCTGGTTTTCAAACTTGCAGCCATAATCAAAATCTATATTATCCACCATATAATAGCTACCCAGAGGACTGGGAATAGCATATATGTTGAAATACAAACCTTGCTCAGAATTTTACCTACTTAGATGGTGAAGACCCAGAAAATTGGGTCACGTATTTGGAATGGAGCTGGTCAAAATCTCTAAAAAGAATGTGACCCTGGAAGTTGTCAGCGAAGCAGAGTGATTGTATCCTTGAAGTTTCTTTGAGGATGTGTGGCTTTCTAAAAACATCAAGTACAAATTGTTCATTATTGAGATTTAAGTCAATAGAAAAATTCCCAACAGAAAACCAATGGCTAGTGAACGTATGAACTGAAGGAAAGCACAGAATCAATCAGCTTGCTGAGAGCCGAATGGGGAGGGGGCCTTATAAAATGCCTCCCTGAGCTTTTTTCTCACCAATCCTGGGACATGATCATTCCACCGTGCTTCGGTCTGCCCACTCTTCGCAAAGGCCATCTGTTCTCTCTTGCTTCCTTTAGTGGGATAGACACTCCATTTTCTATTTTAGCCTTCATTTTATTTAGTGTCTGCTCCAACACCAAGACCACACTTGAACAATCTGAGCCGTTTCCAAAGACAACAGATAAAATGATGATGGCTTTTACCAATTATTGAGGATTTTTAATGTTATGTCACTTACTGGGTCAAACTTACTCAAAATATAAAACACCTAGAGTGAACATTCCAATTTTTCAGCCATGATTCCTAGAAGCAGGTTTTCATGATAGAGTTTTTGCCTCTTCCACAGTGAATAGAAAAGATACAACTGTAGGGAACTGAGGACTTTGTAGAAGGTCATTTGCTCTTTCATTGATGTGAAATCTCTGTAGTTAATTTTAAGACAGCATTTTTCTCCAAAATGTGGAAAGCAGATACCTACAAGATACATGAAGACAGCCATATGTATTTGTAGATAATAGTGCTTAGCTGAGTTTCAGGGCACTAGCTGTATCACTTTTAGAAAGCTTTGGGTCTAGGAAAATAATATTTAAATATGTGATATTGGAAAATTCAGAACAGAAATATATTTAGCAGTCCTTTATTGATATCAATTGCTCTGATATTAGTGCTGCCAGCAATAACATCATTCTGAGACTGTAGCATAGTTAAAGAAAATATATACTTAAAATATTTCTGATAAAGATAATTTTGATTTTTATAATTCAAAAATAATTAATAAAAGATACCTTTTTTCTATAATTGCAATCATTTCACAGGTTTTTTCCATGAGAAAATGTGTTCAAAATAGCGTTTATGTTTTTTTTATTCACTTGTCTTTTCCAAAATTCTTTAAATTATATTTTATTAAAAATTGTATTATGAAAAGTGTCAAACGTATGAAAAATAGAGAGGATAATATAATGAATCTCCTTGTTCATATCAACTCATAGCCACCTACACATTTTCCCCTCCATGTATTATTTTGAAAACATATCATAGACATCATATCATTTCTTCCCCAGATATTTCAGCACCTTTTAATTCGTTTGTTATATAATCTGTTACTACCTTGTTTGATTGATTTGCCACATATATTTTTGCAGCAATTTTCTGATTATTCTATTCACTGGCTCTTTGAAAAATACCACTTACAAGAATATTTCTTAAAACAACTCCCAACACAAATTACTAGAAGGCACATTAACATTCTTTCATATGCAAGGATGCACTTTGAAGATGAAAAACATGACATTTTAGTGCTGCCTATTACCTAAACTAAGAAAGAACCAGAGCTTCATTTCCTTTGTGATCTTCTTTAATGTGCAAAAGAGCGTCCAGAACGTTAGCCCTTAGACATGTCACCAGCTCATTTTGTAGCCTAATTTCTTGTATCATTTCTTGCAGACAATGCTCCCATGGACAAGTCCTCATCAAAACTGACCCATGCTGCTGGAGAACAAACATCAATCATCCCTGTCCATCAGGTCATTGATAAGGTCAAGGGTTATTGCAATGCTCATTCAGATAATTTCTATAAAAATATTATCATGTCAGACACCTTCAGCCACAGCACAAAGTTTTAATATCTTTAATATACTGAAGAGACATCAGTCTGCAGCAACGTGAAGATGTGCAAGCTGTGAAAACTCTGACTAGCAGATGTAAACGTGGTATTACCTAGGTAACTGCATATATATGAAGAATGTGTTTTGTGAAGAAGGCTTTCGTGAAATTCAAAATCTGTCTTTTCAGTGTATTTCTTCCATGGGGGAGTTTCCACCATCACTCAACTTCAGTACTAAGAGCAGCACTCAGTAGCCACAGGGATAGGATTTTTTTTAACTATATGATTGAATGGATCAATCAGAACTTGGGCTGTGGGGTGGAATAGTAAAATTAGAGGGCAAGGGACAGGCCGAGCTTGGGACAAGCCCTAGTTTAGAGCTCATTCACACCCCACATAATAATTAGATTTGGATATGGCCACCTGCTCCATCATCTTTCTCTGCAATCAAAAGCATACTAATATTTATAACTATCTCGGATGCCCGCAGGTCCCATCTCAGTGCTGGTTTCTATGAATGCATTAGCATTTCCTCTTTTTAAATGAAATTTCAACCACAGATACAAAAGAGTATTTAATGTCTGACTCAAAGTTTAGAAAGGAATTTTTTCTCCTTATCTCAGATGTTTAACCCTGAAGACCACAACATGCTTAAGAAAGAAAGAATTCCCCAAATTTTGACCTAGTTAATAAGAGGCCATGTTATTTCACTTATCCTATTCAAGACACAAGGCTTAAGCATCATCATTAATTATAATTTAGTCCTATACATTTGAATCAAGTTTAGTGTTGATGTTCCATTAGAGTGGAGCTCCCAGGAGCTGAAGAATGACCCTCTTACACCTCTGCTTTTGCTGCTCTACTGTACATTGAGCTGCGGGCTCATGGGAGGAATGCAGATTTCCATTAGGCATGCCGTGTACAGTAGTCTCTCCCTTTTGGGAAAAACAACCATTGAGACTCTATGGTCTTGTCTTTGCTCCAGAGACTTTTTAAGACATTTCCATTTGCACAAATGAAAAGCCTCTTACTTCCTCTTTCCAGAGTTTTGTTCCAAAGAATATAAACTGAGACTTACGTGGGTGACTTATCATAATCAAAATAATTTATAATTGTGTGGGTCTACGTTTGCCAGTCTGCAAACTATTTGTACATAAGTCCTCTGATTATAAGAGCCAGAGGAGGTCTGGCAAGACAGATGGGGTGTTATTTATGGATTAGGTCTCTGCATATAAGCCATGCATAATATTAAGCAGCTTAACCTAACTATCAAACTGTCCTGAGGAATATGTTTGCTAGTGAATGTGTAAGAGACCACATTTTAATTGTTCTTAAATGATGGACTCATATCCAGTTTCTTAGAAATCGGTCTCAGTACATGCTGTACCTTTACATTTGCTCTAGGTTATCTGAGATGTTTCAGGTTCTGGGAGGTGGCAGCCTAAGTGATGAGAAGATGAGACATTCTGGCAGAACCAAACTGCTTAAAGGCAGAAACCAGACTGAGCACCTGGGGACCTTTCTCTCTGTGCAGGAAGCAGGTAGCTCTCAGTCTGAAACATAGGAAAGCTTTCAGGCTATGCAGCAAACAAGGGGCCTCTCAGCTTTTGCTGATCTTCAATCCTGAAGCTTTTGGCCAGACTTAAATGGATGATAATGGGTTTTCATACTGTTCCATTTTGTAGCATCCTGGAACACTGTTCTGGAAGACAGGAGCATTGCCCAGCTTGGCCTTCACAGGGGAGGGGTGTAGGTAGTAGGAAAGGATAGTAAATCTAAGGTCACCAAGACCCTACAGTAGAGCCATGTCCTTTTCTCTAGGCATCTATATTAACAGGCTGCTTATTTGGGCAGAGGTTACATCTAGGTGAAAATTAACCTTAAATAGTCACTGAATCTTCATATACTTTCCCCCAAGCCTTAGAGATGGTAGAATTTAATTAGCTTTCGACTGTGAGATTTCTACCCAAAGTGCTTATTCAGTTAAAAGTAATTAAGAGATAGCTTTAAAAATAGCTTTGATTTCTACTTGTATTCATCCAGATCTGGGAAAACTTTTTTTTTTTTTTTTCAAATTTGACAACAATGTCAGCTCCACTTTATAAATTTCCAGTAATCAGGTAAGGAAAGAAACAATGGATAAACAGCTGAATAGAAACATTTGCAAGTGGATTTAAAAGACTGAGTCAAATTCTACCCTCAGTTCTGCGCATGTAGTGCTCACTTTCATCTAGCCCCGCAGGAGAGCAGAAACACAGGAATTTAGCTGTGGAGCCAAAATTTAGTTTAGCTTAACTTTGAGAATAATATCAATTTAGACTCTCTGGGGTATTTTTGGTTGTTTTTATTTTCTTTTTTTTTAACATTATGTTAGAGTCAGTCTAAGATCTTGAGGTATTTTCCATTGCTGTCACGATGACTTACATTGTAAAGCTTTTTATTTGTTCAATGTTGACGTAGACTCTTTTGTATATATTTATTTATTTGTGTTTATAAATGTGAGCTTGTTTTATATCTTACATTTATATTGCCTGGCTTTGTCCTTTTAATTAACTTTTTATCAGAGAGACTGTATATATTTTTTTCTAAATACTTTGTGAAATAGTTTTCTGTAGTAGTATCTCTGAATTTGATGAATAAAAAGTGACTGTGAGTGCAAATTAGAATTAGTAGTAAGAAGCTACTATACCTGATTTGCCATTTTACTCAAATAGAAAATGTTTTTCAAATAAATACTTATGTTGTTTGTGATCCAAATTATTCAATTCCTTTATGAGTGAATGTTTTTATTTCTGACTCTTAAATAGGAAAAGATTATTTGACAACTGGAAAATAACCTGGCAGCAATTAAGCTAGTGACATGGGGCTACTTTGCCAAAACACTAAAAATGAATATTTTAGAAAGATTCAGTTCACTGGGGATTAATGCATTTTGAAGTTCTTAGATTTTCTTAAGATGACTGATGCAAAGCCAAGCTCTGTGGCAAATTAAAAGCAATGTAGGTTTCCTTTTTGGGAAGTCTTCAGCATCTTGAAAGGGAAACAAATCAATAATACTACATAGAAGTTAGGTCATGGGATATTTTTTTTCACATTTATAGGAGGCTTAGAAAATGACAGAATTTAGCCAACTTGACTTGCATGAGTAGAACAGAACCTCCTCCCTTCCTTTTGCTGTGATTAGTTAGGATAACTCTCTTCTGCAGAGAGCCAAGGCCCACTCTGGCTCACGGCCCTACCCAGTGCTAAGCTGTGAGGCTTGTTGGCTGGTCACTGCTCACTCAGGTCTTCTGAGCCAACATTCACAACTCCTGGCCAAGCCGTGTTAGGAAAACAGGCAAACATTTGCTGAAGCTTCATTTGCAGTTACATACAGCAGGTTAAAGCTGAGGGAGCAGCAGTGAGAAGTAGGTGGGAAACACTTATTTGATATGCAGGCTGACCAGTGTTTGTAGTAGTTTGAAATCTGAAGGAATTGGGCTTTGTAAATACCGTGTTTTGGAAGAATGCCCGTGTTTCCAGTCGAGTAACAATCTATTTTTCTTGTATAGAAGCACTAAATCTCTCTCCCTCTTTCTGTCCCCCTCCCTCCCCTTCTCTGTCTACCTCCCCCCAACTTTCCTGCTTTTCTTCACTTCTTCCCTTTCTCTCTTCCTTCCCTCCCTCTTCATATCGAGGAAGAATACTTAACCGTTTTCTTTTTATGCTTCCCTAGAGAAAAAATAAGAATAAATGTGAAGGTGAAAGGGTGAGGATGATGAGAATTACAGGGACAGGGTTAGCCCTGGCAAAGAGAAGAGGCATAGCTTTCTTCTGAGTTTGAGGGACAGGTTATGAGATGAGCAAGGAGGTATAGAGGGGCTGATAGTGAGGCAGTGTTGAGTTTCCCGATTTTTATCAATTAAAATAATTAGAGGCTCACTTCACAAGTTGGGTATTGTAAGGGCGGTAGTATCAGGATGGGGATATGAATAAAATTAAAATTTGAAACAACCTTACGGGGAATGCAAATCCTTGGCTAAATTAATTCAAATAAGCTGGTAAATGGCGTTTGCCCTTAGAGTAGCTTTTGCAAGTACATTCTCCAAATCATCTTATTAAAATTTTTTATTTGGTGTGTTTTGAAAAAGTAGTTTATTTCAAGTTCATAACCAAACATTTAATATTCTAAAGTCTCAAACCTTATTGATTTATCTTAAACATTTGAGAATAGTTGGATGACAAATGATTGCACACTTACCCCACAACCTTTTTAATCTTTTAAGTTACATCTTCTGGTTGGCTTATTTTCATCATGAATTAATTTAAATGATTTTTATAAATTCAGGATATCAGTGAGAATAGAACATTTGATATTCACATTAAATACAATTTAATATTGATATATATAGTCACACCGTGTGAGAAAATAACACAATAATAGCAAAATAAAGTGTTTAAGTACTCTAAGAACAAAAGAAAGATCTCCAGAGCACCACAGTATTTTCCTCCTTCATCGTCCTAAAGTTCAATCAATCAACCAAGGATATTAAGTGACGACAACCCTGTAACCTTCCTACGAGGAGTTCACTGGCCTGAACTGACAGATCTGTCACATTTGAAACTATTTTAACTAAAAAAAACCAGTTTATCTGTAAAGCTCTGAAATGTAATCATTACTGCCAAATTAGAGCTAATACATCGTCTCCCATAATACTGTTAAGAGCAATAAATAGTTAGCTCCTGCAATGTCTAGCACACTTGAACGTGACACGTTATACTCTATTTTGGGTTTTTTAATTTTCATATGTGTGACTCTTCTACTGAATGACATTAATATTAAGGTCTGATGCACTGAGTTATGTTTATTCTCATCATTTTCTCATCATCAGGTGATAGCATACTGCTGGCTACATAACAGGTGCTCTGTTCGTGTTTATTGAATTTATATGGAGTTTACCTGGTCCATTTGCATTTTATATTTTGGAAAAGTAGATCTCAGAGTACCTCGGATTTGCATGAGTTTGTAAGGATATGGACTAGAAATACAAAGTAAAGGTGAAAAAACATATTAGCATCACGCAGTTCAAGATACTTTACCCTCATTGCTAAATGTCACCTTATATGATGCAGGCAAGTAAGATAAGAACAAAACGATACCAAGTTTGATGTTAACTCTAAATCTTTTTTAACAGTTTTGGAAAAGGAACTAGGTTCAAAGGAACTAGGTTCAAAGAAGTCTGAGATGAATAAGTACACAAACCCGCTTTTGAGCACTTGCCTTGGGAACTGTTTTCTGGCTCAAACTGGCTTCAATAGGGAATTTAATGTACGAGCACACAGGGTCCTCGTGGAGCCCTGTGACCAGACTTTGAAGAAGCTGGGACCGAGGGATATTTTTCTCTCTTTACTTTTACTACATAAAGTCAAGAGATGTTTTAGAAACCAAGCTGAACTGATCATTTGAAAATTATTTCCCTTCAACCCCATTTGATAAATTCATCAGTTTCCTTGAATGACTGTTAGGTTGCTGAGAGAACAGTGGTAACTGGTTAACGAAAATCCAATATTTGCTAGACTTGCTTTGTATGAACTTCTGATAAATATGTTTTTGTTCTGGCTAACTCATTGCATATAAAGAAAAAACTGAGATACCAACCAGCTTACTAGCCGGGGTTCTATTACTGTCTAGCAGTTTCCACCAGTGAGAAAGCCATGGTACAACCTGCAGGAAGGATGGTGAGCTGTGATACTGTTAACTAGTAAGGATGAGAAGAACTGGAGAAAGCAGTCATATAGAATTACTATTGTTTAAGGCTTACAAAGGTAGATTGACCCCATTTTGCTAAAGCCAACAGTTCCTTCACTCTGAAGGAATCACAGAATGTAGAAGAAAGGTCACTGGTAATGGTCTGTGCTATGTGACTTTAGTATGTCACCTCTCTGCTGTGGGCCTCAGTTTATTTATCTGGTAAATAAAAGAAGCTGCTTAAGAGCTAAAACGTTTTCAGCACTAGAATTTTATAGTTCCCGTTAACTTCTTTAAATAGAAAAATTCTAGTCGTTTTTATTTAAACACAAAGACCCAAACACTAAATGTCAAGCAAATCATTTGATCTTGTTCAATCTGAATGTTTCAAGGGAATGCATGCATTCTATGTCTTTTTTTTTAACATCTTTATGTCTTTTTTATTTCCAAAATAAATGCCTTTTCTATACAAACACTTTAGTATTTTCAGGGCACTAATTAAATCTTTTGCAGATAAAATTAATAGGAAGATTCACTCTCAGATACAAAAGAGAAGATGCCCCAGCAGTAAGGCAGTACTTACTCATTGTGAAAATCAGAATTAAAATCCTGGTTTCCTTTCGGCAAATCTGTGGAATTAATGATCCTCCCAACATAGGTACAAAAGTTCCATTTCTCCTCCCCAGCTGTGTTACAACGCTGTGCACGGTCCACAGAGGGAAAGAAGAAAACAGATCAGCAGGAAATACGAAGACAGCAAGCAAAACAGATTTGACAGTTGCCAAGAATGTGCCTCAGATGGGCAATTCAGGGTCTCTTGCTGGGTAAGTGAGAAACACAAAACCAATAGGTGTCACGTAATAAACGCACATGGACGTGCCCCACGGTGCAGAGGAGCTTATTTAACTTTGCTCTGGATGCCTCGGCCAGGTTTGCATTCAAATTAGAGACAGCTGTGTGCACGTAAGTTATGGAGGGCAGTTCCTAGTGCGCAACTCATTGCCAAATATCCGAGAAGCATTTTAAAGACATAATATTTCATGTGATTCCTTTTCAAGGGCCCTGAGAGTCTCCTAATTTGTATTAAACACCAGTTTACAGATTTCCCATTACAATGGGACATCATCTATGGCAATACAAAGATGTGGAGGTGAGAGGGATGCTTGAGGTGAGAGGGATGCTTGAACAGCTTAGAGGTCAATACAGCTACCAGAGTAGTATCTTAATATTTGTTTTTAAAGTAACAGATCTATTTCTGCAAGCAGAAGTTGTCACTATTTGATTCGCCCACGTCCAGTTAACATTTTAATCAGAAGGTAATAGAAAATTATTTCTTCAAAAACTTTGGTAGAAAACTATATACACAGAATGTTTTCTAAATAAAGAATCGTAAAAAGGACACTTTCTCAAGAACGATTCCAAGCAAGGATTCCAAACAAGGGTTAGACAATGTTTTACTAGGTCTTTGCCACAGTTATAGAAAACTCAGTTTGTAGTTACAAAGTGTTGGTTGGTTTTCTGGTTTTTTGGTTTTTTTCCCTTATCCGCAAAAGCTATGAGGGATTGCTAACATAGTTGTGGCTTTCATTCTTCCAAATAGTTTCCAATTCACGTCGAACATTTTTCCTTCACAGGATCTTTTTCCTAACTTTGGTTCTGCTGTTTTGCATGATCTCTGTTCACTCAAAAAGAGCACTTGAAGTTTAGGCACTCTCTCCCTAATCCTCAAGTTAATTTTCCCCATATCTCACTTAGCATGTATGTGGGGTGAAGGGGGCTGTGATGAGCCCAGAGTCATGGGGAGGAAGCTGTATTTCACGGCCTCTCCTTGTTTTCAGTCACCCCTTTTCTGTCCATTACTCTCACCGGTGTGAGGGGCTTTCAGGGCTTCCAAGTGCTTCTGGGTAGAATTATGATGTGCAAAGTCTTGCTTTCTTCAGTCACAACAAAATAGCAGGGCAAATCCACTGGACCCTAATCCCTCTTTCCTTCTAAATTCTTGTTAGCACAAACCTCTAAAAGGCTCGCG